GGATGGGGTGGGCGGTGGGCCCCCGTGCAGACCGGCCCCTCCTGTCCCCCCAGATCCAGCAGGCCATCCACGGCAACCTGCAGAAGCACACGGTGCTGATCATCGCCCACCGGCTGAGCACGGTGGAGCGGGCGCACCGCATCGTGGTGCTGGACAAGGGCCGCGTGGTGCAGCAGGGCACCCACCAGCAGCTGCTGGCCCAGGGCGGCCTCTATGCCAAGCTGGTGCAGCGGCAGATGCTGGGGCTCGAGCCCCCCCTGGACTGTGCCGCGGGCCACAGCGAGCCGCCGGGCAGCGGCTGTCCCAAGGCCTGACCGTGGCCCCTGCCTCTCCCGGTGGGGCAGAGGCCCGGCACCCACTTGGCAGATGTACCCACGGAGGGAGGGTAGCCCTCAGCTGTCCCAGAGCTCGGGCCCACGGCGGCGGAGGGGACCTGCCGCGTCCCACGTCCCACGTGTCGCTGCTTCCTGCATCTTGCCCTGGTCCCCGTTTCGTTCCCCGGCCGCCACCAGCCCTCGCTGCCACGAGCCGCTCCCTCCACCCGGCAGTGGAGACGCCGAGGTCTCTCCACCTGGTCTCCCAAGGGTTCCACGTGAAGGTCGCGTCACCTTTTTAAACCAAGTTCTCTCCAGGTGGTTTTTTTTTTTTGTTTTTTTTTTTAACTGGTTGGTTGGATGGGACCCGGTCTACTCCCAGATTTCAAAAGCATTTTTCTAATTGGGAGTAACAGTGGGCAGGGTCACTGAGATGTTCTAGAAACTTCTGAGCCAGGAGCGAATGACCCTTCCTAGTAGCCTAGGGGAGGTCGGGGGGAACTAGGCCTCTACTATTTGCCCCTGGAGAGAAGGGGCTTCCCTGTCCCCGAGGGAAGTCACAGGGAGGGGACTTTCTGTCTCTCCCTCTTCCCAGCTTTGTGAGTCAGGCCCCGGGCGGCCGGGGAGGGTGGGAGAGGCCTGTCTGTCCCCCGGCCCTGCCGCCTGCCAGATCTAAGCCAGTCTCACTGTGAACCACTGTGAACTTCAAATGGGGGAGTGAGGGGCTGGCCAGGCCTGGCGGAGCCTAAGGGTGACCCTGGCCCAGGACCCAGCTTTAGCCCCTCACCCCACCCCCCACTCTGCTGTCCCGAGGCCCTTTGATGTTTGGGAGACGCGTTCTCTTACCCGATCAGTGGATGGGAGGGTGGCAAAGTTCAGGGTCTGGCTTTGCAGGGAGATTGGGAGATGTTGGGAGAACTCGGTCAATAAAGTGTACTACCTCTGACCCCTGACCTCCGACCTCTTCCTGAGCCACCCGCCCCATCACCTGGTTAGGTTTTTCCATCGGGCCAGCTCTCCTTCAGGCCCCGCCTGGGGTAGTCGCGGAGAGACTTCGGGAGGGGTCTCGGGCCTCTCCCCGGTGTCTGGGCCCAGCCCCGGGACCCCCAGCGCTGACATTCATATCCGCTGTCTGTCTCCCCAGGGCTGCGCTGGGTGACAGAGCCCTGTCTCCATCAACCCCCCGAGGCGTCTGTGCCTCCAGGGAAGGCCGAGACCCAGCAAAGGCCACCTGCTCTTTTCCCTCAGGGCCCAGCACCCCACGCCCACGCCCACGCCCGCCCACGGAGCTGAGAAATGGTGCGGAGCAGAACAGCTCGGTCGGGTCCATCTGTCCCTTTGTCAGTCGGATTCTTCCTTGGGCTGCTGAAAACCCTCCCACAGCGTCTCTGTGCATGAAACCCAAACACACACACACACACACACACACACCCCGCCTGCCTTTCGGCCTCAGGTTTGAACCCCCCATGATCTGCTGCAGCCACACTGGCCCTCTGCCTTCCGATCCTCGAGCAAGCTGAGCTCATTCTTGCCTCTGAACCTTTACACCGGCTGTTCCTTCTGCCTGGCACACTGTTCCTTCCACTCGGTCCCCAGCGGGTTCCTTCTCACTCTCTCGGCTCATGTGTCCCCACCTCCACGACAAGTCCTAAATGTGTAAGAAGCACGTATGTGCGTGTGACCCCAAGCACAGGACACCTGTGAGAGACGCTTGGAGGGCGTGTTGACATTGGCAGCAAAGGCCACAGATCAAATATTAGATCCGAGCTCTCAAATAGAAGTGCCTCCCGGAGCCACGCGGCCACCGCGAGCGCAGCCAGCCAGCTGTCAGGAGCATCAGGCCCGCTCCCGCTTTCTCTTCTGCTTTTCCATTCTTTTGCCTTGGTGCAGAGAGATCTTTCTGTTCCATTAAAAATAGAATTGGGTGCAAGCCTGAGGATCGATGGCAACCAAGGCTCGGCGTCGGGTGACAAAAGGGGGAGGTGGGGACTGCGGCTAACAGGAGAGCTCGAGCTCCAGAGGGTGCCCGGGACTGGGCGCCAGCGGCTCGGGCCTACAGGAAGGCGGGGCAGCAGGTCTACAGATATTTCCAGAGAAGTCGGCAATTCCAGTTTTAATATGAGATCAGCTGCTTTTTATAGACAGGCTCGAATTATTTTTACAAAACCGAGGGTCAGTAAAACACATCTCCGGGCCGAGTTCAGCCCGTGAGTCACGTCTGCAGCCTCTGTGTTTGTTGGGCCTGTCCTCCCATCTGCCCAGGTCTCTGCCCACCCGCCCCCTCCCAGGCTGGCAATTCCAGGTTCCCCTCCCTGTCCCACGCCAGGGAGTCAGTTCCAGGGCCCCAGTTTGCAAACCTGAACCCCTAGTGGTTCCAGAGACCCCGTTAGCCCCCCTGTAGAAGGCAGATAGGATTTTTTCCATACAGGGGTGGGCAAAAGCAGGTTTGCAGCTGGGCGACATTATTGTCATAATCAGAACCTGCGTGTCTTTCTTCCACACACACCTGGAAACGCACTTCTGCCCATCTGCCAGTGTGACGTGGAGAGCCGTGATTTTTGCAGCTGACATTTTCTGTGTTATGATTAACTGAGCAGATATGGCTGCCTGCCCCGGTCCCAGGCACCCCGCTAGGCAATCGCTGTGGTCAGAGCACCAGCCACGGGGACCCAGAGCAGACCGAAGGCTGGCTGAGGATCCAGGGGCAGGGAAAGGACAGGACCAGCCCAGGGCCCAGGGCTCAGAAGGGCCGCCCATCCCCCAACCCCCACCACCTCATTTGCTTAATGCCCTGCAGCCTCCGTCTTGAAATTTGTTTAGTTTAGTTTAGTTTTGTTAATCGTCACCAAGAATATTTTCCCCCCCTCCCCTCCCCAGGGTATTTTTT